GAAGGGAATAGCCCTTTTGAGGAAAGCAGCAACTACAACATCGTCAAATCAGAAGTGGGCAGCAGTAGGAAAGGATGCTTTGGACCAAGGGGAAACGATCTTTCTTCCCTAGCGCGTATGAAGATGACGGCAGGGGCTTTGATTTCGTTGTGTGTCCTAGATATGCATGGCAATATAGCAGACATGTCAAACACAAGGCCCGGGGGCCGGATGCAGCCCGCAAAGGGGTTTCATGTGGCCAGCGAAGCCATCCTGGAAACAGTGAGGGAATGGCCTCCGCTGCCTTGGTCCTGGCCCAGGCCAGCCAGGAGCCAATGTACAATTTTGTGGTGGCCATCTTGGCACTTGCCCCAGTGGACCATGCCTTGGCACTTGCCCCGGTCCCACCCCCTTCTGCCAGAGACCCTCAGATCTGTCCCACTCCTGCCCAGGCCCCCCATAGGCACCCTTGACACGAATGATGTAGAACTGGCCACGCCCCACCCAGTAGGCCACACCCACTCCATCCACAACCCACCCAGTAGGCTGCACCCACTCTGGCCACACTCACCCGCCCCGCCCCCCCAGGGCAACCGCAATGCTGATGCGGCCCTCAGTGAAATTGAGTTTGACACCCTTGCAATATAGGATGGCCTGGAGCCCCAAACAGTTGCCTGTCCCTGGATTTAAGTTCTCACATGAGAAGTTGTGAATCACAGCTCATTTGCTTGCAGGCTGTTAAAATAGAGAGGAAGGAACAGAATATCCTGAAAGGTGCTTGGAGGGAAGGGCAACCTGAAAACACGTTGAACATGCCCCCCTTTTTTTTGAGGGGGGAAAGGCTGTCTTTTCGCCAGTCTGATCACTATGAAATTGCACCCATGAAAGTAGTACTAGCTGCATCCAAAGAGTTACGGGTGTGCCCCGAGTGGAAAATGCACAGGTAGTCCTCGACTTGCAAGTCTTAAAGTGGCCAAGTTTGAAAACCCCTGATCTAGAGGGCCTCACATCACCTTATAGATTGTTCCTAACATCCAGCCTTGCCTGCCGTTGTCATGACTGGGTAATAGAAGATTACAGCCATTAACAGTGGCCCACCCTGCCCTTATCAGGGGCTGCAAGGATGGACCCAACAGAATTCCAGAAGGTGGGTCCTTTGCAAGACACATGAAACGTCACTGATAAAGAAGGAAAGACACACAATGAATTCACAACCCCGAGTTCTCGCCTACGGAGCAATTTGAGAAAACGTCTGAGGAAACACAAACCCTTGAATGAATCACTCCAGCGTAGTAAAAAGACCATCTTGCATAAGTGTGGAAGTGAAACTTCCAGGGAAATTGCCACAGAAAGGGAATCAGCCCTCGGAGGCTGGTTCTTTGCTGGCTGAATGACTGTTCTCAGCCCCACAGCTAAGTAGGAAGTTAAAGTTACGACCCCTTACTGCAAACCACAATAGGGGTAGTTGCTTAAACGTGGCTTTTGAGAAAAGAAAATGTGCTGCAGGCTGCTTTAGACTGCTTAAATTTCATGGCCGATTCCTAAACCGCATGTGCAGTGGTGGCAAAGTCCTGTCGAAGTAGTAAATGGCGGGGTGCGTAGTAATTGCTGCTTATGGGGACGCCCAAGTAGAACAAATGTGGAACTGCAGCTTTTTTTAGCTTTCCAGTTTTTAAGGAACTCCTTGCTCTCAAGTAAGCAAAAAGTAGCCTGCTTTTGTTGTTGCCTTAACATCTTAAATCTATAAACCCAGCCATTGTGGTTTATGGCTAGGCACGTGCCATCAGCCAACTGTGATTTGTTCAAGAGCGGTGGCTTACTGCAAAGGGGTGTTTGCTGAGGAACCCCTGTACTTTTTATCAGTTCTATAAAGCAGTGTTTTTCAAAGTTCGGCAACTTTAAGGTGTGTGGACGTGCTGACTGGGGAATTCTGGGAGTTGAAGCCCACACATCTTAAAGTTGTCAAGGTTGTGGAAACACTATGATAGATTGTCCTGGCTTAGTATAAAAATAAAATAAATGAAAAGGCACCCCTCAAAGCTGCTGAAAGAGGAAAACTTAACCAGGGTATAATTTGTGTAGCTTTTCCAGACCTTATATGTTTGAATGGGGCTTCAGACTTGGCCCTTTTATGACTTGTGGACTTCAACTCCCAGAATTCCTCAGCCAGGCATGCTGGCTGAGGAATTCTGGGAGTTGAAGTCCACAAGTCATAAAAAAGGCCAAGTTTGAATACCTTAGGCCAGGGGTGTCAAACTCAATTTCATTGAGGGCCGCATCAGCATTGCGGTTGCCCTCGGGGGGGGGGGTGTGTGGCCAGGGTGGGTGCGACCTACTGGGTGGGCGTGGCCCTCTCTATATCGTTCGGGTCAAGGGTGCCTGTGGGGGCCTGGGCAGGAGTGGGACAGATCTGAGGGTCTCTGACAGAAGGGGGGGGACCGGGGCAAGCGCCAAGGCATGGTCCATTTCTTCATTCCTCACAAAGGGTGACACCTCCCCACCATGCACCCAGGGGGCGGGGCCGACACGGCAGGGGCTGGTTCCTCGCTGTTTCCGGACGGCCTTGTGGAGCTAAGACTGAATGCGTTTCAGCATAGGTGGCCACCATAAAATTGTACATTGGCTCAAGGCTGGCCTGGGCCAGGGCCAAGGCAGCGGGGGCCGTTCCCTCACTGTTTCCAGGATGGCTTCGTGGGCCACATGAAACCACTTCGCAGGCCGCATCCGGCCCCCGGGCCTTGTGTTTGACATGTCTGCCTTAGGCTATTCAGTAGCTATTGAGTAGCTCAAATTATTATTTTACATCAGTTGACACTATTTTGCATGTCTCTATCCTATTTGACCAGGATAGTAGTAGCAGAGATTAGCTGGCTACTCTCCCCCGGCAGCTAACAACATTTTTAAAATAAGTAAAAACAATCTTTAGTCAGTCAGAGGAAAAAGTCCTGGCCGTTTTAGTGAATTCTCAATTTACAGCCATAATTGGCACTAGAACTTCCATTGCTAGCCAAGGCATTTTTAAGTGAGTTGTGCGGGATTTTACGAACTTTTTTTTCCCATGGCTGCAAAACAAATCACTACAGTCATTAAGTGAATCACGAGGATGTTAAGTGAATCTGGCTTCCCCCATTGCTTTTCGGAAGCTGGCTGGAAAGATTGCATGTAGCAATGACAGGTCTCCAGGACACGGCAACTGTCATAAATAGAAGTAGTCCTCGACTTAACAACAGTTTATTTAGTGACTTTTCAAAGTTACAACAAGGCTGAAAAGCGACTTATGGCTGTTTTTCACACTTAACAACGGTTGCAGCATGCCCGTGGTCCCATGATCAGAATTCAGACTCTTGGCAAAGGGCGTGTATTTGTGAAAGTTGCAGTGTCCCAGGGAGCAATATGCTGACTCTGTAAACCGCTTAGAGAGGGCTGTGAAGCGGTTTATAAGTCTAAGTGCTATTGCTGTTGCTATTTTGCGACCTTCTGTCAAGCAAAGTCAATGGGGAAGCCGGATTCTCTTAACAACCATGTTACTAACTTAACAACTGCAGGGATTCACTTAATAACTGTGGCAAGAAAGGTCGTAAAACGGGGCAAAATTCACTTAACTGTCTCACTGATCCATAGAAATTAACAATTATCTCCCTTTGCCATCACTTGTTGTCTGGCTTTTTTATCTTGTATTTCCTTTGAAAATTCTAATATTCATATATTAGTCATTTGAGTTTCTCCCCTTTTTTGCCTATACATTGCTTCTTTTGCTGAGAGCCACAAAGATATTTTGGAGCATAATCTGTTCCATACACAGGTAGTTTTTGATTTACAGTCATTCAGGTAGTGTCCACTCAAAGTTACAACGGTACTGAAAAAAGTGACTTATGACCATTTTTCACACTTACGATCGTTGCAGCATCCCCAGGGCCACGTGATCAGAATTCAGACACTTGGCAACTGGCATGTACTTATGATAGTTGCAGTATCCCAAGATCACGTGATCCCCTTTTGCAAGCAAAGTCAGTGGGGAAGCCAGATTCATATCACTTAACACAGATTGCAGTGTTACTAACTGAACAACTGCTTACCTAACAACTGTGGCAAGAAAGACTGTAGAATGGGCAAAACTCACTTAACAACTGTCTTTGTCAACGCTGCTAACACTGGATGTTCTTGCTTTGACAACATACGGAGATGCAGCCATTTTCCTTCTTATGTTTTACTCTTAGAATTAGATGGTACTGGAGGGGGAGGAGGAGGAATGTGCATGGGAATTTGGTTAGATATAACAATATTGTAACTAGTGCGAGAACCAAGGTTATTGAAATAAGAGATGATAAGAAATGGTGGGTTGGAGAACTGGAGGGAAAGCCTGCATTTCAAACTAATTGGAAAATGTGATTTATGACTGTTAATTAGAAGAGGGAATTGTGCATGGATACTATGTGCTCAGGGGAGGGGAATTCAGATTTTGGCTTTGCCTGTGTACCTGCCGATGCTATGCTACTCGAATAAAGATTCTTTAAGGTAAACAATGCCTCGAAGTTCTTTGAAGAGTTTCATCTGTCGGAACCATGACAGTCTTGTTGTTAAGCGAGAGAAATTTGGGGCTCAATTGTGGTCGTAAGTCAAGGACTACTTGTATTATCTTTTAAGTGTCTTTTAGGTAAAAAAAAACACCATCTTGATTCTTATGAATAAATTTTTGCAAAATTATTATTGGTTCATTGCACAGTCAGCCAGAGAAATGTTCAGACTGGATTTGGCGTTTTTGTCTACCTATTGAGGGTTCCCAAGTACCTGGGATAAGCAGATGTGGATATTTGATGGTGTTACAGGTATCGTCACGGGGATATAAGCTGTTCCATGTCAAGCTGCTTTTTGCAATTGACTGATGGTGAATTTGTGCGTGCCAGTGGTTTTTCAAGTGGTGCTCTAGTTGCTGCTGCTGCTGCTGTTGTTGTTATTAGCCATGAAAGAGGGTTTATTGAAATACTCATTCAAAACTTTGATATATTTTCTATGTCTTTTAGCTCCAGAACCTGGGTGTCAACCCAGCCAACATCGGATTCAGTACTTTGACCATGGAATCTGACAAATTCATCTGCATACGAGAGAAAGTGGGGGAGCAGGCGCAGGTGGTCATCATTGATATGAATGACCCAAACAATCCGATCCGCCGGCCAATTTCGGCCGATAGCGCCATCATGAATCCTGCTAGCAAAGTTATTGCCCTCAAAGGTATGGAAAATGTTTTCCAGTCGATTTCTCGTTTTACGATTCCAAGGTGTGGAGTTTAATATGTTGTCCCAAGTACCCTATTTATTGCTCTCCGAAGTGAACCACAGCTGCTAATGAAATAAACGTATATTTTCATTTCCTCCTCTTGATAGCCAGGAAAAGTTGTGCTTTGCCCAGTGTTTGCCACAATTGCATGAAAACTAATGGGGTTGATTAGTTCCCAAGAATTTTACCATCTCAGCATTATCCTATCTTAAAATGTACATTTTTAATCTGTGGCAGTTCAAAAAACAGGTGCTGTCCTTTTTTTAAAAAAAAAAAAGCATGGAGGTTTGATTAAAACATTTCATGAGAAGGATGTAGATACTTCCTGCAAATACAATGACATTTATTTTCCTAAGGCATGCAGAAATTTCCTACCCTGTTATATGCCAAATATCTCCTGATGTAGATCATCGTAGGGGTAAATCAAAATGAAATTATACAGGAAGTCCTCGGCTTACAACAGTTCATTTAGTGACCGTTCAAATTTACAACAGCACTGAAAAAAGCAACACGACCATTTTGCACACTTAACAACCATTGCAGCATCCCAATAATCACATGATCAAAATTCAGACACTCGGCCACTGGCTCATGTTTATGACGGGTGCAGCATCCCGGGATCATGGGGTTCACTTTTTGTGACTTTCTGACAAGCAAAGTCAATGGGGAAGTCAGATTCACTTAACAACCGTGTTACTAACTTAACAACTGCAGGATTTCACTTAACAACTGTGGCAAGAAATATCGTAGGATGGGGCAGAATTCACTTAACAATAACTTAACTCTCGCTTAGCAATAAAAATGTGGGGCTTGTGGTCGTAAGTCGAGGACTACCTGTAGTTCCTTCTACTCAACTATAATTATATTCTGCCTAGGTCTTTAATGGTCACAACTCAAGTCCCAACTTGAACTAATTGTAATGGATGCTAAATGTCTAGGACACAGGGGTAGGCAACCTTGGCTCTTTTATGACTCGTGGACTTCATCTCCCAGAATTCCTGAGCCAGCATGTCTCAGCATGGAAACCTCTCCATTTCTCCTCAGCATGTCTGGCTCAGGAATTCTGGGAGTTGAAGTCCACGAGTCATAAAAGAGCCAAGGTTGCCTACTACCGATCTAGGCCAGGGGGAGGGAACCTTGGCTCTTTTATGACTCGTGGACTTCAACTCCCAGAATTCCTGAGCCGGCATGGCTCAGCATGGAAACCTCTCCCTTTCTCCTCAGCATGACTGGCTCAGGAATTCTGGGAGCTGAAGTCCACGAGTCATAAAAGAGCCAAGGTTACCTACCCCTGGTCTAGGATAAACCAGTTCTGTTTTTCCCCCCTGAAAAAGCACAGCAAATCTGCCTTCAGTAATGCCACGTTTTTTCCCCTCCCCTCTGGTGGATAAACTAAGCTCTCAACTGTCTCATTGCAGCAGCGTCCTCTTTTCTGACGGCTTTAATGTTTTACCACTATTTTTGTCACATTTTCTAATGCTTTCTTGTGTGTGCAGATGGTGAGTTACCTCTGTTTCAGATTGTATTTGCCTTTGTCCTGTGTTATGAAAAGAGAATGCCAAAGGCTTAGCAGATTAAAGGCTCAAAAAAGTTAGCGTGGCTGAATTATTACGGACTACAGATGTGCAAAACGAGGCGATTACGGAACGGGATGTTCTGGGATACTCCAGAGCATCTCCTGAAGTAGTCAGTTCTGTACATCCCTAATAAGAATCTCTAGTAGTCTATTCTGTCATGTGAAATTTGGTTTTCAGCACTCATAACAATTGGGAGGAGGGGAAATACTAAAATCTGCAAGCATTTCTGCTTGGGTAGGCATCACACTTTTTATAAACGGGACAGAGACTTAACAATATCATATCTGGCTGTATATTGCTTTTTGTGTATTCTGTATATAACGTGGGGGGGGGGGCTGAAATGAAGCCTTTCAGGCTTTCAAAGAGAAAAGAACGAATCTTAGCCTATTGATTTATGCATATAAACATTGATTTATATCCCCCTCCCCCCATTCATTCAGGATTCGAGACAGTTCACCCAGTGCTTCCCTCCTTGTAAAACTACCCTTCTGAAATCCATGATCATGTAGGGTTGGTTTGGTTTTTTTTTAAAAAAAGATCAGCTTAATCTTCTATTTAAAGGACAACATCTGAATGTGGAATCTGTAACTGTTTGATGGACAAGTGTGAGTCTTTAACCCTCAAATTTAGTGTTTAATAGCTTTGAAAGTCTTTACCTGCATAGTTTCAGTGCTTTGTGTTCCTTTGGATTGAAGTTGGTGCAGTCTTGTGGGGCTGATAGTGTCCTTGGAAGTATCTGTAGCTGAATCTCTTAGTTCCCCCCTTCCCCCCCCAAGCTTTTTAACCTGTTCTCTCCTTGTTCCTATATGTTTGCTTCTAGCCCCCCCCCATGCCTCCCCTTGCTCCTCTCTTCCACAAATGTAATATCTTTATGTAGAAGTATATTCTCTTCCCTGCGTTTGTCCTTTAAAAACATCATCAGTTCTTTATAGCAGGGGGTGGCTCAGGAATTCTGGGAGTTGAAGTCCACCAGTCGTAAAGGGGCCATAGTTCCCCACCTCTGCTTTATAGAGATTGACACGCAAGGGGGCAATTTCACGGGGGTCCTGCTTATTTGTATATTCTCCCTTCTGTATCCTACATTTCCTCAAAGATCTAAAGAGGAGGGACCCAAAGGTCTCATTTTTATTCTTAGAGCGATCCTGGGTGGCAGATTAGAGAGGTTAGAATTAGATTATACCAAAGGGCCTTCCCTGAACTGAACGCCCGTACAGGAATTCAGACTCACATTTTCCTGGTTTGTGGGTCTCAACTAAAGCATGCTAACACCATATATAGCAAGGACTTTGAAAGTACCAATAGAAGAGATTGTTTCTAGCTCAGGGTTGAACAGAGGGGTTCTTGGCACTCTCTGAGTTCGGTGGTTTTCTTGCAGAAAACATCTCATTACCCAACTAGGTAATATCATTGGTGCTAGGAGGGACTGGGGTTTGCTCCCATTTTATATACACAAATGGCTTGTCCTGTCAGTATCGGTGGGATTGTTCATACTCACTCCTTGACTAGACTGCTGTTAGGGAACTGCCAGGAATATTCTCACTAACACTGACAGAGCAAGCCACTGGTATATACTGTATAAACGGAGAACAAACCCCACTCTCTTCTAGCACTGATGATGTTACCTAGTTGGGTAACGAAACGTCTGCAAAAAAGCAATGAAGCTCAGAGATCACCAAGGACCCCACTTTGAAAGTAGCAGCATGGTCCATATGGAACATTCACTCTTCCTTAATTCTTGGGTTATTCCTCTTGGTGATCTGCACCCCACTCTCCCCTAGTTGTAATTGTACTCTCTCACCTTTCTAACCTCTGTGCTTGCTGTATGCTTAGCCCACAGTATGCACAAAGGGCAGCTAAACTAACTATCTAAAAAAGTACCCGCCAGAATAGGACACGGCAGTTAATCTTAGGTGGTCCCCATATTTCTTCTAGATACGGATATTAACGTGTGTGTTGCACCGATGTTGTATGTCTTGATGTACTTTATCTTCTCAAGCAAGACGTGAAATGAGTTGCTTGGGTTAAGGATGAGTAACTTTGCATGAATGTTGAGCATCATGAGAGAAAATAGTTGTGCTGTAACTGGCTTCGATGCCACGATCAGTTCAGCCCTTGGCTCTCTTAGGACTCACGTAGGACAGAAATGGCCTTTGAGAGGATGGCCATTTTTACTGTCAAATACCGTGCATGATCCTTTCCCCGGGCTGGGATTTGGACGTCAGATAATCTTTGCAGGCTTAAACGACCAGTAGGCTTTTAAGTGATGAACCATCACGAGTAGCTTTGCTCAATTAATCCACGCTCCTGTCTTTAGCCGGGAAGACCCTTCAGATTTTTAACATTGAGATGAAGAGCAAAATGAAGGCTCACACCATGACGGATGATGTCACCTTTTGGAAGTGGATTTCCCTCAACACTGTTGCGCTGGTCACCGACAACGCCGTGTACCACTGGAGCATGGAAGGAGAGTCTCAGCCAGTCAAAATGTTCGATCGTCATTCCAGTCTTGCGGGTTGCCAGATTATCAACTACCGTACGGATGCAAAGCAGAAATGGCTGCTTCTGACTGGAATTTCTGCACAGGTAATAATATAAGGCGACACGGTGGCTCAGAGGTTAAGACCCTGGTCAGCTGGAAAGCCAGCAGCCCCAGGTTTGAGACCCGAGCGCCACGTGACAGGGTGAGCTCCTTGCCTGCCGCAGCTTCTCCCAACCTAGCAGTTCAAAAGCATGCAAATGTGAGTAGATAAATAGGTACCACTACGGTGGGAAGGTAACAGCGCTCTGTGACCTCATTCTGGCCACATGACTGAGGAAATGTTCCTTCGGGCAGCGCTGGCTCAATGGCCTTGAAACGGAGATGAGCACACACACACACACACTCCTAAAGCCAGCAAAGACTAGCCGAGTAAAATCCACAGGGACCCCTTTACCTTTTTTATAGCCTAATGGGAATGAGCATTGCCTCAGTAAGAGCTGGGATCTTTGCTATAAGATGTGGGAGAAGATAGTTACTTTCTCGCATACATTTTGTGAGAAAAATAGCCAAAAATCTCCTCTAGAAATGTTCGTTGTAGCAAAATTGAAACCTTTGTATCCCTGACTCATTTTTCTGCTCCCTGTGCAACCTTGATCTCTTGGCAGAGCTTTTGGCAAAGCCTCAACAGCTAATCTCTTGCAACAGAAGGAACCCTGCTTTCAATTTCACATTGAAATTTTGTTAGTTACACAAAGAAGCACATCTTGCAAGCAGAATTTGATTGGGGCGAATGAAAGAGAACCATTTCTGATTTTCATTGTAAAAAAAGTTCCTTAGTCTTAAAAACCCAGGTTTTGGCTTCTGGTTTTGAAAACCTGTGTGCCCTACTGGCTGAGGAATTCTGGGAGTTGAAGTCCACAAGTCTTAAAGCGGCCATGTCTGGAGACCCCTGGTCTAAAGTGTGCCGCTAGCTTAACCCTATATTTAGGTTCAGTGTTCTGACGACCCCTTTCCTTCCCTTCTTAAAGCAAAACCGTGTAGTTGGAGCCATGCAACTTTATTCTGTGGACAGGAAAGTGTCACAGCCCATCGAAGGCCACGCTGCCAGTTTTGCCCAGTTCAAGATGGAAGGCAACGCGGAAGAGTCCACCCTGTTCTGCTTCGCAGTGCGGGGGCAGGCCGGAGGCAAGGTGAGTCTGTGGGTCCGATCTCCATCCATCCATCGCCAGGGAGGAGACTTCAGCCTTCGTTGATGTTTTTATACAGGCCGTCCTCGACTTACAACTGCAATTGGGACCAGAACACCCGTTTCTAAGCAAGACAGTTGTTAAGTGAGTCGCAGCTGGGTTTTTTGCCATGGTTGTTAAGCAAATCACTGCAGTTTTTAAGTGGATCATAAGGTCGTTAAGCAAATCTAGCTTCCCCCCCAATTGATTTTGCTGGTCAGTAGCCAGCTGGGAAAGTCACAAATGGCGATCACATGACCCCGGGATGCTACAATAATTGTAAATAAATGTTGATTGCCAAGCAGCTGAAGTTTGACTATGTGGCTGTGGGGTTACGGCCACTGTTGTAGGTCACTTTTTTCAGTGCTGTTGTAATTTCTAATGGTTGCTAAATTACCTGTTCAGATTGAAGCTTTGGGGCACATAGTTCTGAACAGCAGGAAAAATAATAGAATTAGAATTATTAGAAATAGAAATAATAGAAATAGAATTAAATGGAATGGAATGGAATAGAATAGAATAGAATAGAATTTGGAAGGGACGTAGAGGTCTTCTAGTCCAACCCTATACCATTTCAGAAAAACAGTTGTCTAATCTCTTCTTAAAAACTTGCAGTATTGGAGCATTCACAACTTCTGGAATTCCCCTTTCTCCAGCATGTGGATGGAGAATCCATGAATGGGTTTAGACTGTCTTCCTGCCCAATTAGACTAAGTCTGACAAAGTTGCCACGCCTCCTGCTGGGCTTAAGTCCCACCCAGTCACGACTTAGTCTTCAGCCCAGTAGGACAGGATTATGGTTGGCTCCCTTGTCAGACTTTTGGGCAGGTTGTATATCTCTTTATTTCCCCTTCATGGATTCCCCGTTCACTCTATTACAGCGCTAGGATCAGCGCTGTTTCAAACCGTCCAGCGGTTTTTCCCCTCTCCTTTTTACGCTCACCCAAATTGAACAGAGCAAACAGGCCGTTAGTTCAGCAGGCAGCCTAAACTGTTGCAGCTTAGTGCTAGTTGTGAGTAAAAGGACATCCCATCCTGATTAACAGAAGACATATAGGTCTTAACATCCTTTGCTCTGTTACTGTCTGCTGTCCAGAGTCTTGGTGATTAGATTGTCACATACAGGTCGTCCTTGACTTACAACAGTTCATTTAGTGACCATTCAAAGTTACAACGGCACTAAAAAAAGTGACTTATGACCGGTTTTCACGCTTACGGCCATTGCAGTACCCCAACAGTCGCACAATCAACATTCAGATTCTTAGCAACTGACTCATATTTACAACGGTTGCCGTGTCCCACGGGGGTCACGTGATCCCCTTTTGCGACCTCCTGACAAGCAGAGTCAATGGGGGGGGGAAGCCAGATTCACTTGACAACTGTTGTTGCTAACTTGACAACTGCAGGGATTCCCCTTCAGCAAGAAAGGTTGTCAACTGGGGCAAATCTCACTTAACAAATGTCTTGCTTAGCAACCAAAATTTTGGGCTCAGTTGTGGTCATAGGTTGAGGACTACCAGTACATTGGACTGAGAAGAGGGTGTTTAATTGGGGCCATCATCAGAACTAAAGAAGCTTCTCGGAGGAGAAGCGAAACGTTTTCAAGAAAAAAAAAAGCTAAGAAAGTCCAGTTGCCTTTTGGGAAACACCTTTGGATAAGCCTTTCCCAGAGAACAGGGGTTGTCTGAAAGAGCAAGTCCCCTTCCAAGGGAGATCACAGCTCAACCTGGTTGTGCTATCACTTCTTTGCGGCTGATCTTGCACGAAGCAGTCTAGTCTTTTCAACCAGTGGTACGGGTACCACCTGTGGTACATTGGCACCTGGCAGGTGGTACGCGACCATCCTAGAAAAGTGGTAGCGGGGGAGGGGAATGAGCTGAACCGGTGGCAGCACCGCACAAGCCTGAGTGAGAGATGGATGGAGCTGCAGGGCTGTCAGGCTCAGTGGAAGCGCCAGGATCAGTGCCGCTTTCCAACTGATCGGCGCTTCTTCGGGGCTGTCAGGGCTGGAGCTCGGCGCTGATCCTGGCGCTTCTGCTGAGCCCAGAAGAAGCACCAATCAGCTGGAAAACAGCACTGATCCTGGCACTTCTGCTGAGCCCAGAAGAAGCGCCGATCAGCTGGAATGTTGCAGCCTCTCCAGGGTCTTGTGATTTACATTCAGATGCTTGGCAACTGATTCATATTTATGACGGTCACAGTGTCCCAGGGTCATGTGAAGTGACCAAAACCTGCTGCAACCACCCAGTAGACGGGGAGAATAAAAACCAAACACCCCCCCACCCCACCCCCGCTGCCAATCCTCAACAGAAATGCTCACAACAATGAAAACCTCGGACAGGAGGAAGAGCACCGCCAGGTGGGCAGGCAGGTGTCTTGCTCGGCTGTGGCTTGGGGGGCACTTTTTTCAGTGCCATTGTAACTTCGAACAGTCACTAAGCAAACTGTTGTAAGTCGAGGACTATCTGTACTTTATCACTTTTTTCATTTTTATTTTTTTGGGGACATCAAATTTTTGACACCTTTCTAGGCGACTGGTGGTACTCGGATGTTGCCGTACACTAAAAGTGGTACAATGGGTGAAAAGGTTGAAAAGCCCTGGTCTAGTCTATATTTTCAGCCATGGGACATTCCTCTCTTCTTGTTTGATAAAACAAAAGTATTGGCAAGCATAGATTCCTTTCTAAACACGGCCTCTGATTCGATTTCTTTCTGTACAGCTGCATATTATTGAGGTTGGGGCACCTCCCACCGGAAACCAGCCATTCCCCAAGAAAGCTGTAGATGTCTTCTTCCCACCAGAAGCCCAGAATGACTTCCCAGTAGCAATGCAGGTATGGTATATTATCCAGGAACGGCCTTTCCGTGTTCGTCCTGGAAAGCTTTGGAATAGGCAGGCTGTCTGGCTATGCAATCCAATTTGGTCTAATGCAGGAGTGTCTAGCTTTTGCAACTTTTAAGACTAGTGGACTTCAACTCCCAGAGTTCCCCAGCCAGCCATGCTGGCTGGGGAATTCTGGGAGTTGAAGTCCACAAAGTCTTAAAGTTGTCAAGGCTTGACATCCCTAGTCTAGTGGTTAAGTCACCAGGTTAGACTGTGAGTTCAAGTCCTGCCTTAGCCATGACAGCCAGTTGAGTGACTTTCGGCCAGTTACCAGGAATTCTAGACCCACCTTAGGCTTGAGAAACTAGCTGGTTGACTTGGGGCCAGTCCTCAGGAGAAGGGAGTTCTAGTCCTGCCTTAGCCATGGCAGCCAGCTGGGTGACTTTGGGCCAGTCACTCACTCTTGGCTCAACCCACCTCACAGGGTTGTTGCGGAGAAAACGAGGAGGAGGAGGAGGGTGTGTTTGCTGCCTTGAGCTATTTGTAGAAATAACAGAGTGGGATACAAATGGCTAACTAAATAATAGAAGGGCTTAAAAGGAACCATGTCAAGGCCCCAAACGAATTAGCAAACCTCAAGACTGCCCAGCTCTCGGCCTTGCCGTTTAACATTGTAGCTGCTTTTTACAGAGCAAAGTTCAGGTGTTTGGGGGGGGCTTCTGTAGGCATACAGTCAGTGAGCCTCTCGATCCTTCGTCTGGGTAGCTTTGCAACTTGGCAGTTGGACAGTTCAAACAATCTATATGAACAGATTGTATTTTTGATCCAACCAGGAATCTGCACGCCTTGCTGCTTTACAAGAGCAGAGTTCATCATCCTAAACGTCTGCTTGTGTTCTTTTAAAATCATGTGCAGAAAAGCATTAACACCGTGGGAGGAAAGTGCAGTGGGCATATTGTGTGTGTGGGGCGGGGGGGCTTGAAGGACACAGGGAAGATCCGTTACCAGGCAAGGATGAGATAAATGAAGGTTGAACCCAGGCCAAGAAAGTGGTTTACGAAAGCATCTGAGAGAGAGTCCTCTTCCCTCAAATTCACCTGAAGATAAATATGGGAGGAAAAGAAATACATTCAGTCTTGCAAGATTTTTTTTTTTACAACAGTCGTAATAAAAGCAGCTTTCGGTCTACATAAGAGTCTGCTCTGCCTTATTCTTTCCCCTTCTATTCAGCTGAGTCTGATTCTTGGCAATTCCTGCAGTTTTCTTGGCAGGTCTGTTTTCAGAAGTGGTTTGACTATTGCCACCTTCCTGGGGCTGAGAGAAAGAGCTGGCCCAGGGTCACCCAGATGGCTTTATGCCTAAAGTGGGACTAGAACTCACAGTCTCCTGGTGATTTGTCCAAAGTCACCCAGCTGGCTTTCATGTTGTCAGGTCTGCTAACATTGGATGTTCTTGCTTGCCATATGTGAAGAAGCAAACATGTTTTATTTAGCCTACATATCACTTCAAGAGTTAAAGCAGACAATACTAGTCTAGGAGGTGGGAAAGTATGCCAGCTAATCATAACAATATCTCAGCATAGCACAGCCAAGGTCAGCGTAACAGGAGAAATAGGGAGGGAGAAATTCACACTTCAAACTAATTGGAGCATATGATTGATGACTGTAAAATGAGGGAGTGAGTTATGCAGTTGTTACGGGTGCTTGGGTGGTGGGAGGTTCAGTTTTTGGCTTTGTATTGTTCGTGCGGAAGCCATGTAGCCAATTAAAGGATTCTTTAAGGTAATTAAGCCTCAAAGTTCTTTGAAAAGCTGCTTCTTTTCGGAACCATGTCATCAAACCAAAAACCACAAACTTTTAAAACCATTTAGGGGTCCCTTACCCCAGTCACTATCCCTAAAATAACGGGGATCGTTTGACAAAGATAAGGGGAAGATCTCACCATGGAAGAAGAGGGAAGGCCTGAGGCCAGCACCCCTCCAGCCGCAACCTCCCCAGGAGGGGGAGCGACAGCAGCAGCTTCCCCAGGGAGAGGAGCGACAGCTAGCCAGCCGATGGAGAAGAAATCCTTGCAAACTCCCCAGCTGAGAGCGAGACCAAAACTATCAGGAGAGCTGATTTGGTCGTCAGACTGGGATAAGCCGAGCGAAGGCTCTGGACGATTCCACACAGCCCTGCCAGCAGATGAGCGTGAGTCACAACAAAGGGATTCTTACATATTGCCTTCCCCCTCCCAGTGGAGAGCTGCCCGGCCGTCTGTCACTGAAGACTCGGGTGAGTTGAAATACCCACCTGCAGTTCGCAGTGGGTCATTAGACTACCTGGCAGAGAGATTTGAAGAGTTAGAAGTGTGGAGCGAAGAGCAGCTCCTGTTGAGAGAGGCACCCAGCCCCACCCTTGCAGAACAAATAGTTTTTCAACCCCTGGGGTCCCCTGCCAAAGCCTCCAGCCCCACAGAGAGAGAAAACCCCAGCCTGGGCCCCCTACAGCAAGGTGAAACCAAGCAACCCCCACAGAGGAGTGATCAACTATCTCTGAGCCTACATCAACTAATAGAGGCCTTGCAGCAGCTTGAGGTAGTGCAAAAGCCAGGAGAGCTACAGCCGGTGATCTTACAGATTAGGGATGCCCAGCAACAACCCCCACTTGCTCAGCAGCCATTGAGGGGCCTACAGCAGCAGGGGGCATCACCAGCCCCCGCTGGACAACAGCAGAGAAGACAGCAGCAACCCCCGCCCAGACAGCAACCCGGGGAAGATCTGCAACGACTCGAGAGGCCAGTGTTACCGGTGTGGCAGCAGCAGGCAGGATGGGGCCAACAGCAACTGGGGGCACCACGTCAACAGCAGAGAATCCAGCAACCATTGGATCAGCAGGCAGGATGGGGCCAACAGCAATTGGGGGCACCACGTCAACCGCAGAGAATCCAGCAACCGTTGGATTGGCAGGCAGGATGGGGCCAACAGCAACTGGAGACACCACGTCAACAGCAGAGAATCCAGCAACCGTTGGATCGGCAGGCAGGATGGGGCCAACAGCACCTGGAGGCATCACGTCAACAACAGAGAATCCAGCAACCGTTGGATCAGCAGGCAGGATGGGGCCAACAGCAACTGGGGGCACCACGTCAACAGCGTAGAGTCCAACAACCAGTGGATCAGCAACAACTGGGGGTACCACGTCAACAGCAGAGAGCCCAGCAGCCATGGGACCAGCAACCGGGGTGCGGCCAGCAGCAACAGCCCCAGTGGGGGCCGCAACAGCCTGTGTTTGCATCACCCTTCAAAGCAACCTTCGATGGGGATCCAGAGAAGCTGATTTTTTTTCTCAACCAAGGGCGCTCTCACTTGAACCACTGGGCCTATCATTTTCTGGACCCAGGTGCCATGGTCGACGTTATTGCATCCAACCTAGAGGGAGAAGCAGCTGAATGGCTGAATAATTTATATAGTGAGCAAGCCCCCGAATTGGAAGATCCCCACCTTTTCCTCTTAGGTCTGAAAGAACGATTTGAGGACCCATCCATAGGCCTCAAAGCAGCAAGACAAATTCACAAAATAAAACAAGCCGGGAGGCCTGCCCTGGAGTACGTGCGAGAGTTCCGCAAGTTAGCAGGCCGAACAGAGGGGTGGTCCGAACAATCCCTGGTTCAATACTTTGTTGAGGGATTGGACGATCACCTCTCTCAGGCTTGCATCTACCGAGAAGTACCCGATCGGCTACAGGAGTGGTACCAGACAGTGGTGAAGCTGGACGTCAAGCTCTCTCGTTACAAGAAGCCTCTCTCACCTGAAATGGAATCGAAGCCAGAACGACCCAGACGACAACCAACCCCCTGGAGACCTCCAACAACTGCATCTACCGAAAGACCCAAACTACCTGTAGGGCCTCCACTCTCGTGCTTCCGATGCGGACAGCAGAGACATCGAGCAGCGAACTGCCCAGTTCCCTACCCCCAACAACAAGGCAGGCCGAAACCCGCAGCGAAAAAGAAATCTGATCAACAGCCACCGAGAGGAAAATCCAATCGGAAACAAGAACTGGCTGTCCAGGTCGCATCCCCTGCACAGGAGGACGCCGGGACTAAGGCTGGATCCCTCCCAGCTCTACCCTCTCTTGACAGTGAGGACGAAGGGGAGAACGACCCAATGGTGAGTCCACAAATCCCACCTTTTTCGCTAGCTGCCAAACTTATAATCCCTAAATCTGGGGTACAAATGAATTTAAATGTGCTAATAGATTCTGGATGCACCTGATGTATTATTAGCTTTCCCTTTGCCATGAAATTGGGCATTCGAGCAAAATCGCTCTCTGAACCCATGAGGTTTGAGCAAGCCGATGGGTCTCTCATGGGGGGGGGCCTCTTGTCACACAAGTAACTGAGCCCTTACGCCTAGAAATAGGTGCACACTGGGAGTTTATTCGCTTCCTGGTGGCTCCAAAAATGTCTGAGGCGGTGATCCTAGGATTAGCCTGGTTAGACAAAAGGAAACCATTTATCTGGTGGGAGAAAGGAATGAGAACCGTGAGACTACCTATAGAGCCTGATCCCCCCATTGAGTCAACGGATGTTGCAGGGCACCTTAGGCCACCCAACGAGCGAGCGCACATGGCCACCTCACCGCCTCGGGCCGAACCAGTCATCCCCAATGAGTACTGGGACCTGGCGAAGGTTTTTAGTGAAAAAGAATGTGATGCCCTACCCCCTCACAGACCCAATGACTGCTCCATCGAACTGGTGCCAGGAGCCAAACTCCCACGACCGAGAATGTATGCTATGTCCCCCCTCGAAATGGAGGAGATGCAGCGATACGTGAACAAAAACCTAGCGAGGGGGTTTATTGAACGGGCCAAATCCACCATGGGAGCCCCTGTGTTATTCAAAGAGAAAAAAGATGGGTCTTTTCATCTCTGCGTGGACTATAAGGGTCTCAATGCTGTGAGTGTGGAAAACAAATACCCACTCCCCCTCCTAAAGGACTTATTAACTCATCTGGCTAAAGGGAGTGTCTTCACTAAATTAGACCTGAGAGAGGCATACTACCGGGTGAGAATAAAAGAGGGAGACGAGTGGAAAACTGCCTTCAACTGTCCAGTGGGGAGCTATCAGTTCAAAGTCATGCCGTTTGGACTACAGGGGGCCCCAGCTGTATTTATGCAGTTGATTAATGAGGTACTACATGATCACTTGTACAAAGGGGTTTTGGTGTATCTTGATGATATCTTGATATATAGCACGAACATGACTGATCACATAAAGCTGGTAAGAGAAGTGTTAAAGAAACTATTGAATGCCAAGCTTTATGCCAAACTGTCGAAATGTGAATTTCATCAAACTCGATTGGACTATCTTGGCTACAGAATTTCCAATGAGGGTATTGAAATGGACCCAGCCAAGGTGAAAGCCATAATTGAATGGCAGCCCCCAAAGACTCGCAAACAGCTCCAGAGCTTTCTGGGTTTTGCCAACTTTTATTGTCAATTTATCCCCTCTTTTGCCGAGATTGCCCTACCCCTTACCGAACTACTCAAAACAGGCAAAGGAGGAGGAAAGCCACGACCGGGCCAACCACTAGCATGGACAATGGGTTGTCAAACAGCTTTTGAGAACTTAAAAAGACTATTTGCTGCTGAACCGGTCCTAAAGCACCCCTGCCCAGGGGAACCCTTTGTGATTCAAGCCGACGCCAGCAATGTGGCAGTTGGAGCTGTGTTACTGCAAAAGAACAAAAATGGGATCCTGCAACCCTGCGGCTACACCTCTAAGAAATTTACTGAGAGCGAGCGGAGATGGGCAATCTGGGAGAAAGAAGCCTTCGCGGTTAGATGGGCGTTATTAAACTGGCGACACTATCTAGAAGGGAGCAACGTGCCATTTGAGGTTTGGACTGATCTTCTCCCTTTTGCAGAGGTGGCGTACAATAATTCTGTGCACAGCAGCACCAGTTACACGCCTTTCAGAGTGGCCACAGGAAAAGAGTTCAACCCAATACCTGAATATCCTCAGATGCCCTCCGCTTCCCAAACACTTGACCAATGGGTGAGGGGGTGGGAAGAAGTTTGGAGAAACACAAAAACCGCTTTAAAAAAGACTTTTGAAACCTATAAAAAGCAGGCTGATAAAAAGAGGGCTCCCCAAAGAACATTCCAAGTTGGGGAAAAGGTTTATTTGTCAACTAAATACCTACGCCTCAAGTTGCCCAGCAAGAAATTGGGGCCAAAGTTCTTGGGGCCTTTCCCCATAGTAAGAATCATCAACCCAGTCACAGTAGAGCTAAAACTCCCTAAACTCTTAGGGAAAATTCACCCAGTTTTCCATTGTAGCTTGTTGAAACCATATCGTGACTCCACGTTAAGACCTCCTCCAAAAAAGGCACCTGGGCCCCTCGTGGTTGCGGGACAGACCCACTATGAAGTAAAGCGTATTCTTGATTCTAGAATTTTTAGAGGGAAATTGCAGTACCTAGTACAATGGAAGGGATACCCATTATCTGAAGCCACCTGGGTGAAATCCAGTGAAGTGAAAGCTGACAGATTGGTCAAAAGATTTCATATGAAAAACCCCAACAAACCGAAAGATAACCCTTAACCTATGCTTCTGTTTACAGGATCTGTCCTTCGTCTAAGGGGGGGGGCGGATGTCAAGTCTGCTAACATTGGATGTTCTTGCTTGCCATATGTGAAGAAGCAAACATGTTTTATTTAGCCTACATATCACTTCAAGAGTTAAAGCAGACAATACTAGTCTAGGAGGTGGGAAAGTATGCCAGCTAATCATAACAATATCTCAGCATAGCACAGCCAAGGTCAGCGTAACAGGAGAAATAGGGAGGGAGCAATTCACACTTCAAACTAATTGGAGCATATGATTGATGACTGTAAAATGAGGGAGTGAGTTATGCGTTGTTACGGGTGCTTGGGTGGTGGGAGGTTCAGTTTTTGGCTTTGTATTGTTCGTGCCGAAGCTATGTAGCCAATTAAAGGATTCTTTAAGGTAATTAAGCCTCAAAGTTCTTTGAAAAGCTGCTTCTTTTCGGAACCATGTCACATGTAAGATAGCTAGAACTAGGTAAGATAGCTCTGACTACAACTCAGAATCTCCTGGTGATTAGCTCAAAGTCACCCAACCGACTTTTACGTTTAAGGCCAGGACTAGAATTCACAGTCTCCCAGTTTCTTGCCTGATGCCTTAACCCAGTGATGGCGAACCTTTTAGAGACCGAGTGCCCAAATTGCAACCCAAAACCACTTATACATCATCGGGTGCCGGGTGGCCGTGGCCCATTGGCTGGGTATGCCCATTGGGTGGGAGTGGCTGCAGTGGTAACGGCAGACTGGGTGGGACTAAAACGTTCAATCAATCAATTCCAACTTTACAAGATTTTTTTCCCCGCAAGAAATTGAAATTGACTGATTGATTGAACCTTTTTTTTTTTTTTTGCACGTGGCTGTGGAGGCCTAAAGCAAAAAGGTTTTATAAAACCCAGCTGAAGGCCTAGGACTGGGGCGACGGCACGCGTGCCCATAGAGAGGGCTCTGAGTGCCGCCTCTGGCACCCGTGCCATAGGTTCGCCACCACTGCCTTAACCATTACACCATACAGATTCTTATAAGCCTTTTACCTTACCGGGCTCATATAAAGTCTACTAACATTTTTGAAACCTGGGGATGGATGAAGTAAGATTTGTTTAATGCAGGCTACCTGTTGCTATGAGTAGGACTGAAGCTTGATTCAGAAGACCGTACTAACTTGTTCGGCTTATATCACATATGCCAACGCTGCTAACATTGGATGTTCTTGCTTTGACAACATATGGAGATCATGCCTTTTTCTTTCTTATACGTTACTCTTAGAATTAGATGATATTGGGGGAGGGGGAGGCATGCAATGGGAGTTAGACATACAATATTGTAATAAGAACTGATAAGGGATGGCGGGAGAAAGACCTGGGCGGAAAGCCAGCACTTCAAACTAATTGGAGAATGTGATTTATGACTGTTAGTTGTGGGAGGGAATTGCGCTTTGATCTATGTGCTGAAGGGAGGGGAAGTTAGATTCTGGCTTCAATTATGTACCTGCCCAAGCTATGCTGCTCAATTAAAGATTCTTTTAAGGAAAGCAATGCTTCAAAGTTCTTTGAAGAGTTTCATCTTTCGGAACCATGACAACATACCTTGAACTGCCTTTGGTGGTACAGTATGTTCCCTGGGATAAGAACCCTTCTTGGTCTCCTCTTTCTGTTTGCAGATTAGCGAGAAGCACGATGTGGTCTTCCTGATCACAAAATACGGTTACATCCATCTCTACGACCTTGAAACAGGCACCTGCATCTACATGAACAGAATCAGTGGAGAAACGATCTTCGTGACTGCGCCACACGAAGCCACGGCTGGAATCATTGGGGTCAACAGGAAAGGACAGGTAATGAGGCTTTAATGTTTGGGGGGGAGCTTAGGAGGATTGTTACTGGATTGAGGCCAGGTGGGTCCAGGACTCCATCTGTACAGGTAACCCTCGACTTACAGCCACAATTGAGCCCAAAGTTTACATTCCTAAGCAAGACACTTTGCCCCATTTTATGACCTTTCTGGCCACAGCTAAGCAAATCAAAAGCAGTTGTTAAGTTAGTAACACGGTTGTTAAGTGAATCCGGCTTCCCCATTGACTTGGCTTGTCAGAAGGTTGCAGAAGGCGGTCACATGACCCTCCAGGGACACTATCCATCCTAAGTACAAGCCAGTTGCCAAGTGTTCAAATTTTGACCACATGACCACGGGGATGCTGCCACGGTCGTAAGTGTGAAAAACGGCCACTACTCAATTTTTTTGCAGTGCCTTCGCAACTTTGAATGGCCCCTAACCGAATGGTTGTTAGTCAAAGGCCATCTTGAAAATGTAGCTATTTTTCTTGAGCGTTTAGCTCAGAGCTTTTCAACCAGTGGTACGGGTAACACCTGTGGTACATTGGCACCTGGCAGGTGGTACGCGACCATCCTAGAAAAGTGGTAGCGGGGGAGGGGAATGAGCTGAATTGGTGGCAGCACCACACAAGCCTGAGCGAGAGATGGCTGGAGCTGCAGGGCTGTCAGGGCTCAGTGGAAGCGCCAGGATCAGCCCCAAGCTCCAGCTGGAGCTCGGCGCTGATCCTGGTGCATCTGCTGAGCCCAGAAGAAGCGCCAATCAGCTGGAATGTTGCAGCATCTCCAGGGTCTTGTGATTTACATTCAAATGCTTGGCAATTGATTCATATTTATGACGGTCACAGTGTCCCAGGGTCATGTGAAGTGACCAAAACCTGCTGCAACCACCCAGTAGACGGGGGGGAATAAAAACCAAACACCCCCCACCCCACCCCCGCTGCCAATCCTCAACAGAAATGCTCACAACAATGAAAACCTCGGACAGGAGGAAGAGCACCGCCGAGCGGGCAGGCAGGTGTCTTGCTCGGCTGTGGCTAGGGGGGCACTTTTTTCAGTGCCATTGTAACTTCGAACAGTCACTAAGCAAACTTTTGTAAGTCGAGGACTACCTGTACTTTATCACTTTTTTTCTTTTTTGGGTGGGTCATCAAGTTTTTGACACCTTGCTAGGTGACTGGTGGTACTCGAAAGTTGCCATATCCTAAAAGGGGTACAATGGATGAAAAGGTTGAAAAGCCCTGGTTTAGCTGACTAACTAAAATTTCATGCAGTAATTTGGATTGTAAGTCCACCACCATCAAACCTTGGTGTGCTGCCCGTTCGGCAAAATAAGTCAAAAGGCTTGTGTTTGAATAGCAGTAGGTCAAAGTTCACAACCTGTGGAAAAGCTGCTCTTGGCAATGTTTAACAGCATCGACCTTGAAAGATCTTTCTTGATCCCGGATGATACCGGCTTTCAGTTCTGGCCTGCTCTCAACTGCAGAGGGCTGCCTTCCTGCCAGGAATTGGAGCTGCCAAACTGGTTCGTTTCTTCTCCTGCAAAAAAATAAATAAATAAGTGAAAATAAAAACGGGGTGCTTTGGGTTAAGGAGAAGGCATACCCTGAAGCTTCACAGCTCTTTGATCCAAAAGCTGCCTCTTATCCTCTTTGTCTCCTAAAAAGCACACAAGACAATCCGTGCGTGCACTTTTCTCTTGTTAATCTGTTACTGCTTCGTAGTCGCACACAAACTCTGATGCCAGGGACGGATGGGCCTCTCCATAATCCTTAACTGCATTTCAGAGCAAACATGCTCTTTGGTCGCCAAACACGTGATAAGGGAGAAAGTACACATTCTTAAGATGCGACAGAAGTTTGCAGAGCCTGTGAGCTGCCTTCACGATTGCTCCGAGGCAGTTTTCCCCCCAACCAGATGTTCCCCAGATGTGTGGAACTACAATGGCTTTCAGTCACGGAGTTTATAGTCCACCAGATCTGGAGTGCCTCTGGTGACTCCAACTGCTGCAGAAGTCACAGCTTTGAGCTTAGGACAGTGGTGGCGAACCTACAGTATGGCACGCGTGCCAGAGGCGGCACTCAGAGCCCTCTCTGTGGGCACGCATGCTGTTGCCCCATCCCCGCCTCCCCCCATGGCCCCCTTATCACCAGCAGCCCCCCCCCCGGAGGAGAGTCGCCCCCGAGCACAGCCGGCACGGAGCAACACAGCCAAGGACATGGCAGTGGGGACAAGACTCACCCCTTGCGCCCCGTCATGTGCAGATGATGCTGTGAGGCACGGGTGAAGGACGTGGCTGCCATGGTGCCGCCGCGCCGCCTGGGCGATCTGCTGCAGTGGGATGTGGAGGCGGTGGGTGGCCTTATGGGGGGCGGAATGAGGGGGCATGGAGCGGGACGGGCGTGGAGGCGGGGGCGCTTTTGGGGCACTCAGTCTCTAAAAGGTTCGCCATCACTGAGCTAGGATTTGCAAGAAGAAAAATAAGTCGCTTGAATATGATATTATTTAGGGTCTATGTCTGGGTAGGTCAGCGGAGGGAGCAAGATTAAGGATCTTAAAAGAAAACCTGCTCTGATGTTGAACAGAGCATGCTGTTAGTGCTGGAATTCCATTAAGATTAAACAACACTTTAATAAGAGCTTGTCGTCATTCCGCTCATCATGTTAATCTGTTAGTAAGCTACTATAGCTCCTTCAAAAAAAGTAAAAGAAAAGGATCCATCTGGCATCTGGTTACCAGCCTGGAAGAGGCACTCGTAGAAGCCCAAAGACGATTGTTTTTCTACTGCAATGGGTTTTTAATTTTTTTTAAATTAAAATTATCATAGTATAAAATACAAACGAAAATAAAGATGATAGGAAAATAAGAAAGGGGAAAGAGAGGTTTAGGTATAGGGCAGGGGTAGGTAACCTTGGCTCTTTTATGACTCGTGGACTTCAACTCCCAGAATTCCTGAGCCAGCCATGCTGAGGAGAAATGGAGAGGTTGCCATGCTGAGCCAGGCTGGCTCAGGAATTCTGGGAGTTGAAGTCCACGAGTCATAAAAGAGCCAAGGTTGCCTGCCCCTTTTATAGGGGGAAATAAAAGAAAAGGCATTGACTTCCAACTTTTTTTTAGCACAGTAAAGTACAAAATAAAATTACAGGGCTTAACTTTTTCCTTTACCAACTTACCAAATACTGGTCCCAGCTCTGTAACCACAAACGATATTAATCGGCAAAACCCAACATCAAAGAGTGCTGATTAGATAGGTTTGTTGTTATAAAAATGGCCAGTACATTTTTATACTTATCCCCCTGGTGGCGCAGTGGTTAAAATGCAGTATTGCAGGCAAACTCTGCCCACAGTCAGGAATTTGATCCTGACCGGCTCAAGGTTGACTCAGCCTTCCATCCTTCAGAGAACCCAAATTGTGGGGGGCCATATGCTGACTCTGTCAACCGCTCAGAGTGGGCTGTAAAGCTCTGGGAAGCGGTATATAAGTCTAAGCGCTACTGCTATATTAGTAAAAAGTTGATGCTGCAAATGTTACTATGAAGCACTAAAAGGAGTCAGAAGCCCATCTTGTCCTTTTCTTTTTAGCCCTTTATCCTCCAGTTCTCTCTCTTCCCTTTGTTCTCCCCCATTTCCCCACTACTTTCACTTTCACTTTTGTATTTTACAGCTTGATAGACTTAATAAAATTATTATTTAAAAAAAAAGAAAAAAAGAATGCAAGAGATCCTACTGAGGAACTACGGTCCTTCTCTCTCCCTGCATTTCAGGTGCTTTCCGTGTGTGTGGAGGAAGAGAACATTATCCCATACATCACCAATGTGCTGCAGAATCCCGACCTGGCCCTGCGAATGGCTGTCCGTAACAATCTTGCCGGTGCTGAAGAGCTCTTTGCCCGAAAGTTCAATGCCCTTTTTGCCCAAGGGAGCTACTCTGAAGCAGCCAAAGTAGCAGCAAACGCCCCGAAGGTATGGAAAATGTCCACCTGATCCAGGCTTTGTCTTCTGTTTTATCCACTAGCCAGGTCTGAATCCTCACTTCACTTCACATCCTGCCTGTTTCTTTGAGTTTGTTTTTTTTGGCACTGACGTACAAGTAGCCCTCAACTGATGACCACAGTTGGGGTTCAGAATTTTCATTGCTAAGCAAGTTGGTGGTTTAGTGCACAACTCCCCAACCTTTCCGGGTTGGCAGCCCGCAGGGAAATGTACGTGTGTGTGCGTGCACGCGCAAAACTGGTGCACCCACAACGGCGGTGCTAGCACCCGTGCGCACCCGTGGCACTGTTGGTGAGGCCGGCACCCGCGCACATGCGCAATCAGGCCGCTAGCGCCTGCGTTATGCTGGCGGCAGCGCTAACGCCCTCACACATGCCAAACGCCTGCTAGAGCCTGCGCAGCAGCACTAGCGCAAGTGGGGAGGGTGCATGCACACGTGCGCATCCTCGCTAGCCATTCTTGTGGTCAAGAGACTACAGACTGGGCCGCGGCCCACAGGTTGGGGACCTCTGGTTTGGTGCATTGCGCCTGATTTTACGGCCCTTTTCCCCACGGTTGATAAGCGATTCGTGGGAGTTGTTAAGCAAATCGTGCATTAAGCCAATCCGGCTTCCCATATTGACTTTGCTTGTTGGAAGCTGACTGGGAAGGTTGCAAATGGCAATCACAGGACTTTGAGACCTGGGGGATTCTGGGACATGGTCGTAAGACTGGTTGTAAGTCACTTTTCCCAATGCTGCTGTACCATCGAATGGTTGATAAATAGTTGTAAGTTGAGGGCTTATCTGAATTAGGGAGCATTGTTAGTCCTTATGGGGCTGTCACTTGGAAACCTTGATGGGTGACCTGAGCCTTTCTTGGCCATTGGTTGGCAATTGCCCTGACTTAAGTCTATTGTATGTGGTTTGGAATTTATTTATGTATAATTTATTTATAAATTTTACTGGCCACCCATCTGACCTCAGGGTAACTCTGGGTGGAATGACAGTTAAAATCGCCATTGGTGCCTTTTAATGCCCTTTTTGCAGTGGTTCAAACTGCACTGGCTGGTGGACTTTAGGAAAAAAGGGGGGAAGCAAGTCACATGCATGCATGCATGCATGCATACATACATACATACATACAAGTTCATTCCGAAACTAGACTGGGAGGGCTCCTGCCTATAGATTGACTGAAGACTTTTCAGCTGTGGTGGCCCAGTGGTTAGAATGCAGTATTGCAGGCCAAATGCCAGCAGTTCGATCCTGACTGGCTCAAGGTTGATTCAGCCTTCCATCCTTCTGAGGTCGGTAAAATGAGGACCCAGATTGTTGGGGGAAAATATGCTGACTCTGTAAACCGCTTAGAGAGGGCTGTAAAGCACTGTGTATATAAGTCTGAAGTGCTATTGCTATGGTAGTTTTTATTCAGAAGGAAGTGTGCATCTGGCAATAGGAGACCACCACCTTGGTTCTCTGCCAGGATAAATTAATGTTGATCAGGGTGAGAATGGGAGCTAGTCTTCCTGCTTTGAGTTAAGGCAATTAATAATCTGGGGGGGCTGTGTCCTTTCCTTTGAAAACAAGTTAAGCGAATCACACAGCCTGTCAAGCTTGAAGCTTGCTTTGCTGGTGCAACCTTGACACAGCCATTCAGTGATCTGACTCCCCCATTGACTTTGCTTATCGTGGTTGCCAAGAGCCCAAATTTTGACCACACGCCCCCGCGGATGCTGCGGTGGTTGCAAGTCGCCGTTTTCAGTGCCGTCGTAACCTGGAACAGTTACTAAACATATGGTTGAAAGTTGAGGACTACCAGTATATAAATTTTATATGGTGGCCGTTTGGCTGCCGGGTGACTCTGGGCCTCTGCACAAATTATTAAAGCAAAAATGCAAAGCATTTATATATTAACATTATCAGAAATTGGAAAAATTAAGAACAAGGACACAATGGAGGGTGGGTGGGATCTTCATTCTAGTCCACTACTTCCAGCATGAAACACACACACACACAATTGGGGCCCCAGGCAATTGGTAGAGCCAGATATCCATGTTATTTTCCTTGCTGACCATTTAACCTGGTTCTTTGCCCATTAACCTGGTTCTTTCAGGTCCAGCACCTACATTCCCTAAACATTCTTCTATGCTTGAAACTCTCCCAGAAAAGCTGTATTTATGCCACCTGATACTTCCTTCAAATCTTTTTTATTTTCTGTGATTTTTCTTCTTACACTCCTTGTAGCTGAGCAAAGCTGAATTGTGGGCGTTTGAAACCATCCCATAATTCCTTTCCTGTTTACTTCCTGTCTCCGATTCTCTTCCCTTCCGGCATTTCCTCTGGGCTGTTGTTAGAAAGTAGGCACCGGCTGTGATCTGTAGCAGCTCAGTATTTCTGTGTGTGCTCATATTCTACGTTTGAACAACTGAACAACTTTACTTTAGTCACAGAACTGTCTGCAATTTACTCGGAAGATTCACAGATGTGAACACATCTCCGAATAAATTAAAAAAGAGGTGGGGGAGGGAATAGAAAGGAATTACTTAATAAATGCAAACACTAACCTAATCATCAGATACAAGCCTGCAAGTTACCTCAATCAAATCAATGCATTAAAATTTCTAAGAGCTTGGACCTTTACACGCTGCTGTGCCTCGTACACTGTATCTTTGGAAGAGTTTCCAGAAAAATCCCCACACGACAAAAGGCTTGGTCATCGTAGTAAATCAAGTGCTATTGAAACAACACGCCAGGCATTTCTTATATTAAAGAAACTCATACTACATCCTGCAACACAAACTTACTATGCCTTTATCTTCTCAACATTTTGATTGTCATTTTCTCTTATCTCATTTTTCTTTGACTTGATCAGACTTGATCAGAGTGATATGCTCTTATAATGATGCTGAATAGCTGCAAGATTTTTATGTACACGTATTTATTTGTAATGTGCCTATATTTGTACAAATAACTCAAGATGGCGAATGTATCCAAGATACCTTCCTGCTCCTATTTTCCCCCACAACAACCACCCCTGTGAGGGACTGGTCCCAAGTCACCCAGCTGGCTTTCATGCCTAAGGCAGGACTAGAACTCGCTACTCCTGCTGATTGGCCCCAAATCCCCCAGTCAGCTTTCATCGTTAAGGCAGGACTAGAACTCACGGTCTCCCACTTACATTTTTTAATATTTACTTAATTTTCCTTTCCAAACCCTTTTTAAAAAAGTCAGTCTCCTTTATTAATCTTATTCTCTCGTGTTATTTAAATCTGACCAATGATCAAAATAAAGTACTTTGGGAAATGTTTATTTTACTGCCTTATAACAGAGAATTGGGTGGCATACAACATAAAGCAAAGAGGGGTGGTTTTCTTTTGCTGAGAGCTATACTTGTACTTTGATGATCCAAGAGGTCCATGTTAAAAAATGAGATGGACAAAGGAGTGCGTAGGGACACAGAAAAAAATTCAATTAGATTTAGGTGGAGGGGTTTTTTTAAAAATTATTTTTGGATCCCTTTGAGACATTGTTGACTCCTGGTGATCGCCTAGACCAGGGGTAGGCAACCTTGGCTCTTTTATGAGTCATGGACTTCAACTCCCAGAATTCCTGAGCCAGCATGGCTCAGTATGGAAACCCCTCCATTTCTCCTCAGCATGGCCGGCTCAGGAATTCTGGGAGTTGAAGTCCACGAGTCATAAAAGAACCACGGTTGCCTACCCCTGGCCTAGACAAGTCCCTACAGTTTTCTTGGCAAGATTTCAGAAGTGGTTTGCTGTTGCCTGTTCTTCTGGGGTGAGAGAGAGGGACTGGCCTAAGATCACCCAGCTGGCTTCATGCCCATGGCAGGACTAGAATTCTCAGTCTCCTGGTTTCTAGCCTGATGCCTTTTAGCTACTATACCAAACTGACTCTTTTACATTTTACCTTGTGTTATATTTAATTGAATATAATGGTAAGCAAAAATAAAGGCATGACGAACATTGAATACAATGAATAGTATTGCACGGGGTCACATCCCAAGAATTTCAGGGCTGTGCACATGCTGTAGTCTTAAGTTATGCACTCTCTAGCTGTGTTTCCTAACCTTGGCATCTCCCAAATGTATAGAACAATTCCCAGAATTCTGAGCAATGGCCAGACTGGCTAGGAAATGGTGGGAGTTAAACCCCAAACGTGTGGAAGGTGCCAAAAGTAGAAAATAGAGGTCTAAAGCACTGTTAGTCAGTCTTGGTGACTTCAGCCCTGAGCCCTAGTGGCACAGTGGTTAGAATGGCTGCCTAGGGAATTCTGGGAGTTGAAGTCCAAGTCGTCAAGGTTAAGACACACTGATTTAAAGGTTCTGCCGATAGTTTATTTAATAACTTATACGGTTCTTCATAACTTACACGGTTCTTCTTGACAGATTTGCAGTGAATAGTGTCAACGCTGCTAACATTGGATGTTTTTGCTTTGACAACAGATGGAGATGCAATCATTTTCTTCTTATGTTTTACTCTAAGAGTTAGATGATGCGGGGAGGAATGTGCATGAGAGTTTAGCTAGACATAACAACACTGGACCTAGTGTGTGAACCAAGGTTATTGAAATAAGAGATGATAAGAATTGGCCGGGCTGGAGAACTGGAGGGAAAGCCTGCATTTCAAACTAATTGGAGAATGTGATTTATGACTGTTAATTGGAGGAGGGAATTGTGCTTTGATACTATGTGCTCAGGGAAGGGGAATCCAGTTTTTGGCTTCGATTGTGTTAGTGCCGATGCTATGCTTCTCAAATAAAGATTCTTTAAAGTAAACAATGCCTCAGAAGTTCTTTAAAGAGTTTCATCTGTCGGAACCATGACAAATAGATGATGTATTTTATCTGCCTTTTTTTTAAAGGGAATATTGCGTACTCCAGACACCATCCGCCGGTTCCAGAGTGTCCCAGCGCAGCCAGGTCAGACATCTCCTCTGCTTCAATATTTTGGCATTCTGCTAGACCAAGGGCAGCTGAACAAATATGAGTCCCTGGAACTGTGCCGGCCTGTCCTCCAGCAAGGACGCAAGCAGCTCCTGGAGAAATGGTTGAAAGAAGACAAGGTCAGTCGTGTGCTTGGTAGGAGGGCATCTTTAAAGATGGAGGTGGCTTCATTGGCCCACCAACAGCTGGAATTCATCCTGTCTGCTGGGTCCAGTCTCTCCAATTGTGTGTAGAGAGCCACCAGTCAGACCTGCCCCCAATTGGTCCTCTAGGCCAGAGGTCCCCAACCTTGGTCACTTTATGACTTGTGGACTTCAACTCCCAGAATTCCTCAGCCAGCCATGCTGGCTGAGGAATTCTGGGAGTTGGAGTCCACAAGTCATAAAAGTGGCCAAGGTTGGAGACAGACCCCTGCTCTACGCAAGAAAGGGCCTCGACTCCGTTCGCGTCGAAAGGTATACTTTACTAAAAGCCGAATGGAATACAGCATAGCAAAGCCAGAACCGAAGTTCGCACGCCAAAGTTTCCCGGTTAACTTTCCCCATCCCGTTCCTCTTCTCCCCTGGTCCCTTACTGTGCAATTATATTTGAATAAATTGTTTTGGGAACGGTCTCTTCAACAGGCTGGTGGGTGAGCCATTGCATTCCATTCCCAGAGCTTTGATCTTGAGACAGTTTCTCGGGAAGGTACAATGTATTGTTAGCTTTCCTCCCCCATTCCAGTCCAGCTCTTCCCCCCCCCTCCCAATAATTCATGGCGGACTAGCAGCTAGCAAATGCGAAGCTCAAATCGTGTGATGGTAATTCTGACAGCACCCATCTGCCTCCAAGGAAATAAAAATGATTTGAGTTCAGGTTAGGTAGCTTCTGCTGGACAATGTTGCTCTTCGGATTGGTATCATGGCAGAGAATAACAGAGTTGGAAGAGGCCTTGGAGGTCTTCTAGTCCAACCCCCTGCTCAGGCAGGAAACCCTATATTATTTCAGACAAAGGGCTACACAATCTCTTCTTAAAAATCTCCTGTGTTGGAGCACCCACAACCTCTGGAGGCAGGTTGTTCCACTGATTAATTGTTCTGTCAGGGACTTTCTTCTTAGTTCCAGGTTGCTTCTCTCCCTGATTAGTTTCCATCCATTGCTTCTTGTCCTGCCTTCAGGGGCTTTGGAGAATAGCTTGACTCCCTCTTCTGTGGGGCAGCCCCTGAGATATTGGAAGACTGCTATCATGTCACCCCAAGTCCTTGTGTTCATTAAACTAAACATGCCCAATTCCTGCAACCGGTTTTCGTATATTTTAGCCTCCAGACCCCTAATCACCTTTGTTGCTCTTCTCTGCACTCTTCCTAGAGTCTCGACTTCTTTTTTATGTCTTGGCAAACAGAACTGGATGCAGAATTCCAACTATAGTCTTACCAAGGCATTATAAAGTGTTATTAACATTTCCCGTGATCTTGATTCTCTCCCCCTGTTGATGCAGCCTAGAGAACCAATGAAAACTGCCAGCTAACAGATGGCAGCTTCCTGGTGGCAGCATTATTAGGTATGGAGGACTTTGGCTCCTGGCTGGCATTTCCTGGCAAATGAAAGGAGAGGAAATTGCCTTTCAGCTCTTCGGCTGAATTACGTAATGTTGCCCTTAAATTAGTGACCTTTCCATCAGCTGTCAGTTGTTCCCAGCTGATGGACGATGCTTTCCTATAAGCATATTACGACTTATGTCTAATGCCAAAATATAAATCATCTCTCTCCTTCCCCCCCCCCCAGCAAAAAATCTCAGAAGACTTAATCTCTCTGGTCCAAAATATTGCAAGACTTAGAGAAGCTAAAATCATTATAAGATTCTAGTGCCCTGCATCAGTTTGTGACCCCATTGATTACAATTGATCAAGCCTTTGGGATTCTGAACTTGAATCGGGATTTGAAATTTCCAAACATTTGCTACGCATTTTTTCAAACCCTAGGGTGTGGCTGATGGGGCAGGAATCTGTAAAAACTTTGTCTTTTCTTAATCGAGACAACAATGTTCTTTTGTCATCCATAATAACCACAACCTCAGAATTACATTCCTCATTCAGCAATTGCGTTGAGACAATGCTGGTCCTTATTTAATGAATGCTCTGGCCTAATTGCATCTTAAAGGTGTATTTTTTTTCCAGAGGTTTTTTTTTTCTGTTACAGGATTTAATTTAATCCCTTTGCCTTCTGATAACCCTTATTAGTAACTTAACTCCTTGGAGTCAAAGGTTATTCGACTCCATAGCTGGACTTCTAAATGTAGTTACTTTATTTTATTTTTTATAAAGTTGGAAGGGACCTTGGAGGTCATCTAGTCCAACCCCTTGCTCAGGCAGGAAACCCTATACCATTTCAGACAAATGGCTGTCCACTCTCTTCTTAAAAACTTCCAGTGTTGGAGCATTCACCGCTTCTGGAGGCAGGTTGTTCCACTGTCCACTGGTTAATTGTTCTAACTGTCAGGAAGTTTCTCCTTAATTCCAGGTTGCTTCTCTCCTTGATTAGTTTCCATCCATTGCTTCTTGTCCTGCCTTCAGGCACTTTTGAGAATAGCTTGACTCCCTCTTCTTTGTGGCAGCCCCTGAGATATTGGAACACTGCTATCATGTCCCCCCTTGTCCTTCTCTTCATTAAACTAGACAGACCCAGTTCCAGCAGCCGTTCCTTATATGCTTTAGCCTCCAGTCCCCTAATCATCTTTGTTGCTCTTCTCTGTACTCTTTCTAGAGTCTCAACATCTTTTTTACATCGCGGTGACCAAACCTGGATGCAGTATTCCAAGTGTGGCCTTACTAAGGCATTGTAAAGTGGTATTAATACTTCACATGATCTTGATTCTATCCCTCTGTTAATGCAGCCCAGCACTGTATTGGCCTTTTTGGCAGCTGCAGCACACTGCTGGCTCATATTTAAGTGATTGTCCACTAGGACTCTGAGGTCCCTCTCACAGTTACTACTATTGAGCAAGGTACCCCCTATACTATACCTGTACATTTGGTTTATCTTGCCTAAATGTAGAACCTTACTTTTTTCACCCTTGAATTTCCCAAGGAGAAGTGTATTAAAATAATGTAAGATAGGGAGCATGGTGGCTTGTGTAGTTAGGACGCTGGGGTGGAGGTTCGCACGCTTGCGTTCGAGACCTGAGTGTTGCTGTGGGGGGTGGGGTGGGTTTCCATCCTTCTGGGGCAGGGTTGAACTCCTGTCCTTGGCTTCAGCTCATGCCAGGGACGTGAAAGGAGCCCCCAACTACACATCCTCCAGGCAACGCTGTTGTCTTCGGCTAGTCTTTTCAACCTGGAAGCACCTCGGTGCTTCTAACATGAGTGCAAGCAAGCAATCTAAGACAGGGGTGTCAAACTGCCGGCCTGTGGGCCGGACGCATCATCCGGAAGCCGTGCCCGCCCCATTGCCGGTAATGGCAAAACCGGCCCGATACGTTGCGCGACGTCACGTGACGTCGCAAGTTTGACACCCCTGATCTAAGACATTGCCTGCACTTTAATCTTTATTGCTTTGAACTTCATTTTTAGATTCAGCTCACACTTCTCCCTCTCTCTTCTTGAAGACGGGGATGGAAAAAAGACTTGAGAACAAAAGCTGAGTTCCTGAGCGAGGGACTTCTTTTCATGACAAACGTCCTTAGCTATTTTAGTTTTACAGTGAAGGAGCTTAAGCAGCCACCGGCTTAAATCTCAATCTGTCTTCATTCTTGACGGGGAGGGGTTTAACACTTGACCCTTTGGTGACTAGTCAAGGACAGCTCTTCTGAAAGGGATTTTGATTTCTTCCTCCAACGTCACCTTCCCCGGCGAGATATATTTGTGGCTTTCTTCTTGGTTCGCTTGCGTATTGAGGACTAATTGCATCGGGCACTGCCCAGTGTTGAATTTGTTTCTACTATTGACATTCATCAGACGTGCCACTCAATGTTTAATGTCATCCTGATACAATCCTTAAGACAGGGGTGTCCAGTCTTGGCAACTTTAAGACCTGTGGACTTCAACTCCCAGAATTCCCCAGCCAGCATGGCTGGCTGGGGAATTCTGGGAGTTGAAGTCCACAGGTCTTAAAGTTGCCAAGACTGGACACCCCTGTCTTAAGATGTTCCTGCAATGCAGCATAGGTCCCATCGTATAGGAGCTGGCCCGGGGGGGGGGGGGAATCACATACTGTAACAAAACAAATATTATGTTTTGGAAGTTTCCTTAGGATGCATGTTTCCCCAACTACTTGTCACATTTGCACACATGGGGAAACGTTTCTACTATTACTACTACTACTACTACTACTACTACTACTACTACTACTACTACTACTACTACTACTACTAATAATAATAATAATAATAATAATAATAATAATGATAATGATAAAGTTGGAAGGGACCTTGGAGGTCATCTAATCCAACTCCCTGCTCAGGCAGGAAACCCTACACCATTTCGGACAAATGGCTGTCCAGTTTCTTCTTAAAAACTTCCAGTGTTGGAGCATTCAGAACTTCTGGAGGCAGGTTGTTCCACTGGTTAATTGTTCTCACCCTCAGGAAGTTTCTCCTTAGTTCTAGGTTGCTTCTCGGTTAGTTTCCATCCGTTGCTTCTTGTCCTGCCTTCGGGTGCTTTGGAGAATAGCTTGACTCCCTCTTCTTTGGGGCAGCCCCTGAGATACTGGAACACTGCTCTCATGTCCCCCCTCGTCCTTCTCTTCATTAAACTAGACATGCCCAATTCCAGCAACCGTTCCTTACATGTTTTAGCCTCCAGTCCCCTAATCATCTTTGTTGCTCTTCTCTGTACTCTTTCTAGAGTCTCAGCATCTTTTTTACATCGTGGTGACCAAAACTGGATGCAGTATTCCAAGTGTGGCCTTACCAAGGCATTGTAGAGTGGTATTAAGTGGTACTTGCAGTTTGTTTTATATATTCAGCATCCTGTTGGGTATTTAAAAAAAAAAACCTCAAAAACCCAATCTCTGCATCGCTTGCTTTTAAACAGTTGGAATGCTCTGAAGAACTGGGAGACCTCGTGAAGTCTGTGGACCCCACCTTGGCCCTGAGCGTCTACCTACGGGCTAACGTTCCCAATAAGGTCATTCAGTGTTTTGCCGAAACGGGGCAAGTTCAGAAGATTGTGCTGTACGCCAAGAAGGTAATTAGTTCCTCTGAAACTTTTTTTTTTTTTACCTTTTCACCATTTTTATTAGTTTGTAATATAAAAAAAATGCAAAAGCAAATAAAGGGGGGAAAGGGGAAAGGAGAAGTGTAGAAAATAAGGGAGAGAAAAAAGGCATTGACTTTCCAACTCCCTCTGGTACAGTCGAATAAAACAGTAACCTCAAACCTCAACTTTTTACTTTTACATAATAGTATAAGATAACCTTTATTGTCATTTTTTTACTGTGGGCACAACGGCACACATCAAAAATGAAATTTAGTTGCCCGCTCTCAAAGTGAAACACATACATGACACACACCTAAACATACTATGTACAACATATGTATAGACCCACACCCCTACATAAAGAAACAGATAAATATTAAATACTGTCCATCTTGAATATATAACGGAAGGAGGAAGCTTGAGAGCTCACGAGGTTAATGCTGTATGGGACTAGCCATTTCTATAACAACAAATCTGTCATTTTATAATTACAAAAATTGATGTATTTATATGTTATAGGTGAATAATAACTGTATTGAAAAGAGGAGATGCTCGGTTGGCACCCCAAACTGCACTCGAAGAGATGGTTAAGAAGGGAGAGGGGATGTAGTTAGGTGGAAAGGAGGAAGGTGGAGAGGTTGTGGGATCAGAGAGAGGAAGGACAGGAAAGTGAATGAGGGTGGAGGCAAGGCGGGGACTGCCGAGCGTCTCCGAAAATGTACTGATTTGGATTATTTTTCATTGCTTGTATATGTAAATGCATCATATTGGTATTTGTTGGTTAATTACAAAAATTAATAAAATTTTATTTAAAAAACAAACAAANCAGTCTCAAGACCTGCTCCCGTCTCCTCCCCCGGGGCCACCCAGTCAGAGTCAAGGCCTTCTCGGATCCGAGCGACTTTGTCATACAGATATTGAGCAAAGTCCTCGGCCCTCCCCTCCAGGGGATCCCCTCCCTCCCTCAACTGGAGGAGAGAGCGGGTCACCCTGAAGAGGGCGGCCGGGCGGTTATCTGATGACGCAATGAGTGTGGAGTAGTAGTTAGATCTAGCCACCCTCATCGCCACTAGGTAGGATCTAACATGCATCCTTACCTGTGCTCGGTCGGATTCGGTTCGGCTAGCCCTCCAACTGCTCTCTAGGCGTCTTTTCCTAGTTACTAGTTACTATTTGGGTAACGAAATACTAGTTACTATTTGGGTAACGAAAGGTCTGCAAGAAAACAAGCAAGCTCACAGAGCACCAAGGACCCCCTCATTTCAACCCTCCTTTATTGGTGCATCTTGGGGTCTGTGAACTCTTGCTAGGAGATGAATCGGGTTGAGCTTTTTCAGTTTTCAGTCTAAAAGGTGACCAAGCCAAACACAGATAATCTCACTCAAAAGTAGAGCAAAGCTGATAAAATGTTTCTTTTTTCTGCCTTCACATGCTCTTTCTAGGTTGGTTACACTCCAGACTGGATCTTCCTCCTGAGGAACGTAATGCGGATCAGCCCGGACCAAGGACAGCAGTTTGCCCAAATGTTGGTGCAAGATGAAGAACCTCTGGCAGATATTACACAAGTAAGGAAAGATCTTGAAAGAGAGAGAAAAGGACATTTGGGTCAGTTTTGGTAGAGTTTACAGCTTTCCAGGGCAAAAATAAGCACACATTCAAAATGAGCAGAAGGCATAGTTTAGAAAAACTTTATCTATAAAATATATATAAACACGATACGTACAGTTTCATTCAGCTCTGGGGAACATCAACAAGTCTTAACTTGGAGATCAGAAAATAATGATGGCGAATCTTTTAGAGACCGAGTGCCCAAAAACTGGCCCCGCTCCTGCTCCAACCCCGCCTGCCCACAGGCCCACTTACTACCTCCAGGGCCCGCAGACTGCCCAAGTAGCCCAGCAGCACCACCGCGGCCATGCTCTCTGCCCGTGCCCCGCAGCATCAACTGTGTGCGATGGGGTGTGAGGGCAGAGTCTTGTCTACGCTGCCTGGCTGCCATGTCCTTGGCTGCGGTGCTCCAAGCCTCCAGGGGGCTGCTGGTGAGGAGGGGGTCACGGGAAGAGGCAAGGCTGGGGCAACAGCACGTGTGCTCACAGAGAGGGCTCCGAGTGCCGCCTCTGGCACGGGTACCATAGGTTCACCACCACTGGACTAAGACACACCCAGACCTAAGCTGGATCGCATGCCTCACACAGTCAATACTGTGTCTTAATCAAAAACAGTTCTCATTGGCTGGTTTATTGCTATGGCTATTCCAGTTCATAACATTTCTTAACACAGTGACAAGTTTGCTCCAGCAGGCTGCAATAAATGGCTTTATCCTGGAGATCCTTGCTTTCCTATAAAGTCCACTAGTTGCATCTAAATAAACATTTCAGTTTTTCCAATAATCCTGTTTTTCACATGGATGTTTCTGTCATTTCCGGCCACTGACCTCTTTGCTCTTTGTGTAGCGTTGAGTGATGCTAGCAGGAAATTTGGCAGTGTTGCAATCACAAAATTCAGAGTGTGTGCCCTGTTGTGAAGGTTTACGAATAAGGTAGTAAAAGGTGACATTAAGCAAGCATGGTAACAACCATGCTGCAGAGCATTCAGAATGTGGGAATGTGGCGGTCCTTAACAATTTTGAGCCTTAAGTCAGTGTGGGCTATAAGCCCAGTTTGGTCATAAATAGAGTGAGGATATAAGACTTCAGCTTTACGATGGGGTGTAAAATTTAGCAGCTGGCCATTTGTTCAAGGAGCAAAATGGTAGGTGATGCGACTCTGGAAGGGCTTGTATTTAGCAGTCTTGAGGATGTTGGAGGATGTATGGGGGCTGCACAGATCCATGTTCTCCTGACCTCATGTGGAAGGTGAAGTCTCAGCAGGCATTTCTTGACGGACCCAGGTCCTCCTTGCTAAATCTTTCACATGGTCTCTTGAGGACATACAGATGTACAAGAATATCCCTCTGATTTGAGGGGGTCCTTGAGGCAGTTTTTGAAATCTGTAGGATTCTACAGCAGTTTTGCTTAACCTTGCCAGCTTTAAGCTGTTGCATGCTGGCTGAGAATTCTGGGAGCTGAAGGCCACACATTTTAAAGTTGAGAAACACTGTTGTACAGTATCAGGATTTGGCACTAAAGTGAAAACAGGTTTTGTGAAAAGACAGTTGAGTGTCGTCATATATCAGGGGTCTTCAAACTTGGCCCTTTTATGACTTGTGGACTTCAACTCCCAGAATTCCTCAGCCAGCGTGCCTGGCTGAGGAATTCTGGGAGTTGAAGTCCACAAGTCATAAAAGGGCCAAGTTTGAAGACTCCTGTTGTATATGAAACATTTCAGAATTGAATTGAAAAGTTCAACCTGTCATATGGCTCTGTTTTGAGTTTTAAACTCTTTCCTAGGAAGGTCCCATGTTTGACAAGGCCTCATTTTGTGCTCAAAATACATGATTCAGATGCAAATAGAGCTGTTTGAAAGTTGAAAAGCTACTAATGAGATCAGAACTCTGTTTAAAAATGGTTTCAGATTTGAAATGCTTTGAACTTCTAACAAGAAGAAGATACGGAATTCATTTGGAGCTTTAAACATGCATGATTTGTCTGAATTAGATAACCTTATATTTATTTGCTGGAATGTTTATACAAGGCTTTATCTGCCTTGGGTGGGAAGAATCTAAAACAAGTGCTCCCTTTTATTTTATTTTGCAGATAGTAGATGTGTTTATGGAATACAACCTGATCCAGCAGTGTACGGCTTTTCTCTTGGATGCTCTAAAAAACAACCGTCCATCTGAAGGGCCTTTGCAAACTCGTCTGCTTGAAATGAATCTCATGCATGCACCTCAGGTAGGTTTTGCACCTGGTTCTCGAAAGGATTTAATTACTCTATTTCTTGGACTTTTCTCTCACAGGAATTGGAAGTAATATTTGGATGCAAAGCTCCTATAAAGAAACCCTTAAAACAGGGATTTCAGTTCAGCTCATTCTAGCCCTTTAAAAAAAAAAAAAAAAAGCCGAGATGCTTTAATGCTCATCGTTTCCTGCAGGCAGAAGCTTCCAGTTTTACATGGAAGTTAAACTGATTAAATCCAGGTGCTAGTATTTTTATAATGATTAGATTTCCAAAAGTTTGTTCTGAACTTGAGGGTTCATTCTTTTTAAAATCAAAAGTTTATCAAAGTGAGTGGCTGTCTAAAATTATTACAGTTATTACAAATCACTCCTTGTGATTTCCATTTTGATAGGGTGTTAAGAAAACCCAGTTTCCCTGAACTGTGGAAGCATTTTGGGGCAGTGTTCTTCTAAAGCCATGAATGAGCAGGTCTGCAAACCTGGCTTGGTTTTAAAAAAAAAAAAGAGAGCTGGCAGTGGATACTGAAAAGTATTCGGATTTCTTATAATCAGCAGCCTGTCCAGAAAGAGTACAGAGAAGAGCAACAAAGATGATTAGGGGACTGGAGGCTAAAACAAACAAGGAACGGCTGCTGAGTCCGAAAGGAGAAGGGCGGGATATAAATACAATTAATAAATAAATAAATAAATAAATGTCTAGTTTAACAAAGAGAAGGACGAGGGGGGACATGATAGCTGTGTTCCAGTATCTCAGGGGCTGCCACAAAGAAGAGGGAGTCAAGCTATTCTCCAAAGCACCTGAAGGCAGGACAAGAAGCAACGGGTGGAAACTAACCAAAGAGAGAAGCAACCTAGAACTAAGGAGAAACTTCCTGACAGTTAGAACAATTAACCAGTGGAACAACCTGCCTCCAGAAGCGTGAATTCTCCAACACTGGAGGTTTTTAAGAAGAGACTGGACAGCCATTTGTCCGAAATGGTATAGGGTTTCCTGCCTGAGCAGGGGGTTGGACTAGATAACCTCCAAGGTCCATTCCAACTTTTTTATTATTATTATTATTATTATTATTATTATTATTATTATTATTATTATTATTATTATTATTATTACTACTACTACTACTACTACTACTACTACTACTACTACTACTACTACTACTACTACTACTACTACTTCCGGAGGCTGCTGTGAGAGATTTGTGGGGAGCTAGGAAAAATGGTACGGAAGAGAGAATCAACAAGCATAAGAGGCACTCTGGTCTAGTGGTTAAGGTGCTGGCCTAGAAACCAGCAGATTGTGAGTTCTAGTTTGCCTTAGGCATAAAAGTCAGCTGGGTAACTTTGGGCCTGTTGCTCGTTCTCAGCCCGACCCTGCTGTCAGGGATGTTGCTGTGGGGGAAATAACAGAATAACAGAGTTGGAAGGGACCTTGGAGGTCTTCTAGTCCAGCCCCCGGCTCAGGCAGGAATCCCTGTACCATTTCAGACAAATGGCTGTCCAGACTCTTCTTAAAAACTTCCAGTGTTGGAGGTAAAGCTGTTTCACTGATTAATTGTTCTAACTGTCAGGAGATTTCTACTTATTTCTAGGTTGGTTCCCTCCTTGATTATTTTTCATCCAAATAGAAGGAAGGAGGAGTATTAGATACTGTATATTCACCACCTTGAGTTATTTATAAAAATAATCAAGGCGAGATAAAAATCTAATAATAATTACCAAGAGTCGCCTGGGTCATAAAGGGCAACTCGGCCCAGGTGACGGGAAAGCATTTTGGTGAGAAGCAGTTTGAATTATTCAGAGACTTAATGCATTAAGTATGAATGACCCTGGGAAATTTGTTTTGCAGTTCCCAAGCGTTCTGTTTTCACCCCAAAATTAGCATTAAAATCCTCACTTTCTTGTTTGTGCATGTGGGGGCTTGACATTTGGGCTCTGTACACACCAGAGTTATCCAAGCATTAATTTCTGGCGGAGCTTCTTTGCCACAGATCTGTATCTCAAGCAAAAATCTCCTCTTTCAGGTCGCCGATGCCATCTTGGGGAACCAGATGTTCACCCACTATGACCGGGCCCACATTGCCCAGCTGTGCGAGAAAGCTGGTCTCCTCCAAAGGGCGCTGGAACACTTCACTGACTTGTACGACATCAAGCGAGCCGTGGTCCACACACACCTCCTCAACCCTGAGGTACAGGGCTGAAAGTGCACCTAATTTATGTGTGAAGAACCCGTGTTGATTTTAATGTTTTTATGCTTTAAGCCAGGGGTGTCAAACTCAATTTCATTGAGGGCCGCATCAGCATTGCGGTTGCCGTCGTGTGTGTGTGTGTGTGTGTGGTCAGGGTGGGTGCAGCCTACTGGGTGGGCATGGCCAGCTCTACATTGTTCGCGTCAAGGGTGCCTGTGGGGGCCTGGGCAGAAGTGGGACAGATCTGAGGGTCTCTGGCAGAAGGGGGTAGGACCAGGGCAAGCGCCAAGGCATGGTCCATTTCTTCATTCCTCACAAAGGGTGACCCCTCCCCAGCATGCACCCAGGGGGCGGGGCTGACGCGGCAGGGGCTGGTTCCTCGCTGTTTCTAGACAGCCTTGTGGAGCTAAGACTGAATGTGTTTCAGCATAGATGGCCACCACAAAATTGTACATTGGGTCCCGGCTGGCCTGGGCCAGGGCCAAGGCAGCGGGGGCCGTTCCCTCACTGTTTCCAGGATGGCTTCGCCGGCCACATGAAACCACTTCGCGGGCCGCCTTGTGTTTGACATGTCTGCTTTAAGCCGCCCAGAGTCACTTTGAAGCCAGATGGGTGGCAAATAAATTGAATAAATTTAATTTGCTGGGCTGCATATCTTTTGACTTTGAGCAGCTAGCAGCAGTCATACAACGCAGCAATCAAATGTACACAGTAAATTAAAAGTTAAATCAAACCACCTAGTGTAATCTTGACAGTGTCATTATTCATTCCAAAGTCCCCTGGAATAATTCAGATTTAATCAGTTTCCAGAAATCTTAATAACAATGGGACTATTTTCATCTTTCAAGAGAAGGCCGTTTCGGAGAACTTTGGCCATTGCTGAGAGATTGAAGTCCAGCTGCATTTGGGAACAATTATTCTATTTAGAGGTGGCAGTACAAGATAGTCCTTGACTTACCACCACAATTGAGCCCCAAATTTTCCATTTCTAAGCCAGACAGTTGTTAAGTGAATTTTGCCCCATTTTGTGACTTTTCTTGCCACAGTTGTTAAGTGAATCACTGCAGTTGTTAAGTTAGTAACACAATTGCTAAGTGAATCTGACTTCCCCATTGACTTTGCCTGTCGGATGGTCGCAAAAGGGGATCACATGACCCCCGGGGACACTGCAACCATCATAAATATGAGCCAGAGAAGCATCTGAATTTTAATCACGTGACCGTGGGGATGCAGCAATGAACATAAGTGTGGAAACCGGTCACAAGCCACTTTTTTCAGTGCTGTGTAACTTTGAACAGTCACTCAATGAATGGTTGTAAGCCAAGGATTACCTCTACACCAAGCGTACATAATATATTTAGTTTATTCCCAACACAATCAATAGAGACTGTTGGTTGTTTACATACAAGACAAGACAACAAAACACACCACAGTAAAAATTAAACCAAAGTATAAACACAATCTAACCAAGCTACAAAGTACAAACGTTCGGTTCATAACTAACGGCATTATTTTGCACTCTAAAAGTACGCCGAAAAGAACTTGGTTTGAACAGCTTCTAAAAAACCAGTATCAAGAGCTCTGGTGGCGCAGTGGTTAGAATGCATTATGGCAGACTGCAAAATGAGGATCCAGATTGTTGGGGTCAATAGACCAGAGCAGGGATAGGCAACCCTGGCTCTTTTATGACTCGTGGACTTCAACTCCCAGAATTCCTGAGCCAGCCATGCTAAGGAGAAATGGAGAGGTTTCCATGCTGATCCATGCCGGCTCAGGAATTCTGGGAGTTGAAGTCCACGAGTCATGAAGGGGCCATTGTTCCCCACCCCTGGTATAGGGCAGGGGAAGCAACCTTGGCTCTTTTATGACTCGTGGACTTCAAGTCCCAGAATTCCTGAGCCAGCCATGCTGAGGAGAAAGGGAGAGGTTTCCATGCTGAGCCAAGCTGGCTCAGGAATTCTGGGAGTTGAAGTCCACGAGTCATAAAAGAGCCAAGGTTGCCTACCCCTGGGCCAGAGAGTGCTGTGAGGCGGGATATAAACCTTATTGCTATTGCTGTGATGCCAATGGATTCATTTAATCCCAAAAGTGCTTTTTCAAGAGGCAACTGGACTTTCTTCTTGTTCTTTGAAGACGTTTTGCTTCTCATCCCAGAAGTGTCTTCAGCTCTGACTGGATGGTGGGGAATTCATTTAATTGGTTTATTAACCAGACTTATATGGGCACCCATCTCACCAAAAGAAGCTTTGTGCAGGGAGTTATCATTGCCAATCCTGGCTGAGATTTATGGGAGTTAAAATCCCCATCCCTGCCGAAAGGTTCCTGTTGGGGAAGGCCGTTCTCACACCTCACCTCAGATCTACAATATTTCTGCCACAAAGAAGTGTAAGAAAAACCAAGGTCCTTTCTAATGTTTCCTTTTGCTTGCAGTGGCTGGTGAACTACTTTGGCTCCCTTTCCGTGGAAGATTCCCTGGAATGCTTGCGCGCGATGCTGTCAGCAAACATCCGCCAGAACTTGCAGATCTGCGTCCAGGTGGCTTCCAAGTACCATGAGCAGCTTTCAACTCAGTCGCTCATTGAGCTCTTCGAGTCATTCAAGAGTTTTGAAGGTAGGTCCGTTGGGTTCCCGCGCCGCCCTCAAGCTCTGAATCCATATCTCTGACTGCCTTGGTTCCTTCTGGGTGTCCCTTGGACCATTGAGAGGAGCGCATTTCTTGAAGACATCAGGCCAAGAGATTGTCTTTGTCCTCTTTGGCTGGTAAAGACAAGCAGATGGGGATGTCACGATGGTGGCCATCACTAATGTGAAGTGTTAACGTGATGTGTTAATACCATTTTACAATGCCTTGGTAAGGCCACATTTGGAATACTGCATCCAGTTTTCGTCACCACAATGTAAAAAAAGATGTTGAGACTCTAGAAAGAGTACAGGGAAGAGCAACAAAGATGATCAGGGGACTGGAGGCTAAAACATATAAGGAATGGTTGCTGGAATTGGGTATGTCTAGTTTAATGAAGAGAAGGATGAGGGGGGACATGATAGCAGTCTTCCAGTATCTCAGGGGCTGCTCCAAAGAAGAGGGAGTCAAGCTATTCTCCAAAGCACCTGAAGGCAGGACAAGAAGCAACGAATGGAAACTAATCAAGGAGAGAAGCAACCTAGAACTAAGGAGAAACTTCATGACAGTCAGAACAATTAACCAGTGGAACAATCTGCCTCCAGAAGCGGTGAATGCTCCAACACTGGAAGTTTTTAAGAAGAGACTGGACAGCCATTTGTCTGAAATAGTATAGGGTTTCCTGCCTGAGCAGGGGGTTGGACTAGATGACTTCCAAAGTCCCTTCCAACTTTTATTATTATTACTACCCAGTTGAAGCTGTCCTCCTTTGTGCCGTGATTGTGATGCCACCTTCACTTTTGTGACCACCCCCACCTTCTTACGGGCAACCCTTCTGGCAGTTTCATTCAGGAAGTGATATCCTGCTGGAGAATTTAAAAAAAAAAAAAAAGATGTTGAGACCCTAGAACTGTGGTGGCGAATCTATGGCACGGGCACGCAGAGCCCTCTCTGTGGGCACACGTGCCCTCACCCCAGTCCTAGGCCTTCAGCTGGGTTTTATAAAACTTTTTCGCTTTAGGCCTCCGCCGCCGGTTCAATCAATCAATTTCAACTTCTTGCGGGGAAAAAAAAGATCTCGCAAAGTTGGAATTGATTGATTGAACTTTTTAGTCCCACCCTGTCTGCCGTTACCATGGCAGCCACGCCCACCCAATGGGCCACACCCACCCAATGGGCCAGGCCTACCCGGCACCCAACGATACATAAGTGGGTTTTGGGTTGCAGTTTGGGCACTCGGTCTCTAAAAGGTTCGCCGTCACTGCCCTAGAACGAATACAGAGAAGAGCAACAAAGATGATCAGGGGTCTGGAGGCTAAAGCATAAGATGAACAATTGAGGGAACTAGGTATATTTAGACTAGTGAAGAGAAGGACTGGGCGTGACATGATAGCTGTCTTCCGATATTTGAGGGGCTGTCACAAAGAAGAGGGGGTCAATCTAGTCTTCAAAGCACCTGAGGGCAGGACAAGAAGTAATGGATCATTAAAGAGACATCCAACCTAGAAATAAGGAAAAAATCCTGACAGTGAGAACAGTTAACCAGAGGAACAACCTGCCTCCGGAAGGTGTGCATTCTCCTCACAGGAGGTTTTAAAGAACAGACCGGGCAGCCATTAGTGCAGAATGGCATAGGACAGGGATAGGCAACCTTGGCTCTTTTATGACTTGTGGACTTCAACTCCCAGAATTCCTGAGCCAGCCATGCTGAGGAGAAAGGGAGAGGTTTCCATGCTGAGCCATGCTGGCTCAGGAATTCTGGTAGTTGAAGTCCACAAGTCATAAAAGAGCCAAGGTTGCCTATTCCTGGCATAGGATCTCCTGCTCAAACTGAGAGTTGGACTACAAAATCGTCAAGGTCCCTTTCAACCCTATTATCCTATGTTTGATAAAAGGCTGCAGAGATATTTATCTTGGGTCATTGTCAGTGGATTTAACTGTGACTAACCAAGGCTTGGATTGGAGGTTGTCTGGCTTTAGTATTCTCAAATATCAGTATAATAGGTAGCATAAGTAATGCTTTATATGTAGATCTTGACTTACGACCAGTTGCTTAGTGACCAAATGTACGACGGATCCAAAAAAAGGGGACTTGCGACCCAGATTTGAAGACCCAGTGGTCAGGCCCCCTCTGCAGTAACATGACCAAAATTCGGCTGCTGGCAAATATGGTGTATATTTACAGCTGTTTGCAGCATCCTGCGGTCATGTGACCACCTTTTATGGCGGTTTTGCCAAAAAACCAGGCATTTATTTGCAGTTTTCAGCCAAGACCACATCCAGAGCAAACCACTGGTTCGCTTAACAAACGATGGTGATTTGCTTAACCACCAGCACAAAAAAAGTCATAAAATCAAATTGGTCGCATGACTGACTTGTTGAATGACCATCAAGTCATAAGGACAGTAATGGGCAAGCTCCACTCTGTTCGTATGTCGAGGACTATCTGTACAGAGGAAATGAGGTTGGAGAAATCTGCTTTAGGTCAGTTTTTGTTATTTCAGCATCAATGAGTGAGACTCACACTTAACGTATCGTTAAAAGCAAATCCATTGTGGCTACAGACGAACTTTTTCAGCAAATGAAAAATTGGTTACAAGGGGTCCTTGGTGGTCTCTGAGCTTGGTTGTTTTCTTGCAGACATTTCATTACCTAACTAGGTAACACCATCAGTGCACTATTAATCTAAATTCAATAATCTGTTAATGTACACTAATATAAGTGTGAGGTCCTTGCTGCTCTCTGTTGTTTTCCTGCAGACATTTCATTGCCCAACTGGACAACAACAACAACAACAACAACAACAACAACAACAACAACAACAATAACAATAATAATAACAATAACAATAATAATAATAATAATAATAATAATAATAATAATAATAATAATAATAATAATAATAAAGTTGGAATGGACCTTGGAGGTCATCGAGTCCAACCCCCTGCTCAGGCAGGAAACCCTACACCATTTCGGACAGATGGCTGTCCAGTCTCTTCTTAAAAACTTCCAGTGTTGGAGCATTCACCACTTCTGGAGGCAGGTTGTTCCACTGGTTAATTGTTCT